ACCCCCCCCCCCCCCCCCCCCCCCCCCCCCCCCCCCCCGCCACATGTTTTTCATGGCTAAGTCTCCACTGCACCCCAAACTAGTATTTTGACAACAGCAACACATATCCAGATCTGAAAGTATTTTTTGAAGCTGTCCAATACCAAAAGCGACTTGTGATATGCGATATCAGTGTGGCCGAATATATTTGTATGTACTACAACTGCACGACCACCAAAACTGCCCGGACAAAAAAACGATGTGAAAAGCAAAAAACACTGATGCAGATGTTCAAAAAAATCTGAAAATTCACGAAAATTGATTCTAACAAAATGAGGTAGGGAGATTTTTATCCCACCATCTCACGGTGATGAGACTTAGAACGACGAAGACAGTTGCTGGAAGATGGGTCAAGCAAATATAACAGAAAAAAACATAAGGTTCTGGGCAAGTTCGCTCTGTCTTTCAAACTCAAGTGACCAGGCCGACCCTTCAGATTCGAGCGACGGCGCAGAAATTTTTTCTTGCCCGATGAACGTGTAAAATAAGTGTACGATAAAAGCAATGCGATTTGCATTGCGCAATTTAAGTACGAACGGAAAAGCATCACTCAGGGGCGCTAACCTGTAAAGTTTAGCAAGTTGCTCCAGACTCCACTGTCGTACTCGCGAAACATCAACTGTGAGTTGCTTTTTTGGCAGAATATGTAGACTATCAACAACGTTCAATAAATGTTCCCAATTTTGCATTAGCAACAAATCAGCCTAAATTCAAAAATAATGAAAAAACCTCACTGCGAAACACTTACTTTCGTTAACACTTCGAACAAATTGGAAATTAGCTTCAAAATAACACATATTAATAAAGTACATCAACACAAATATTGACGAAGTACCTTGCATTAGGATGTGGATGTGTTAAAACACAAGACCATAGTCTACAGAAATGTTGCCAGCTGCACAGGTAGCTACCTAAGCTACGAGCTGCATGCGGCTGTGCCTGCTTACAGGCTGCGCAGCTTCCGAAGGTTGGTCGGTATAGGCGAGAATCTCCTAGTACTATGTCGTGAACGGAGCCCTTTCTCAAGAATTACTCTGGACCAGGAAGGAGTCGAACCACTCCTCTTTACGTCCAGATGCAACGTGTTACCACTACATCACTGGTTCTTGTGCTTCATGTTCAGCCAGGCAGCAAATCTACTATGCATCTGCCTTTCGAGGTAAGACATACGTTCCTCTTCACCTTCTTTTCTTTGTGGCGACTTCTTGGTCGCCTTTTCGCGAGTATTCCGCTATATACGGAGTGAAGCTGTGGCACAGAGTTCAGCACTGGTGTCGGACGGAGAAGCGGTAAAGCTACCGATATTTCTAGCTAAAGCTCTCAGTTTTTTGAATAAAACTACTAAAAAAAAAACACCAAAGAAAAGACTGACCTTGTCAATAACTAGTACCTCGATTGAAGCCAAGAAATCAGTCTCACGTTCCGAATCAGTGCTTTCGCCAACAATCATACGCATTCCTACTGGTGATGCAACTAATATATCTGATTCATCAAAAGGCGTATACAATTTTAAACTTTTTTTCGCAATTGCTACACCAATTCGAAAGCAATCGTCCACATTTCCGCTCATAAGTTGCCGATAATCATCGAATACCTGATAAATAAAAACATACGATTAGAGTATTTGAGTTGTTCATTTTCAACCTCAGAATAGAACACAGATGGTTCATATTGTTACAAACATGTTTCACCTGGTAAATTGGCACTCTGGCTCCTTTACATTTATTCGTTTCAAGAAAGTCTTTTTCGTTCTGTTTTACACCGATATGGATCATTATATCTATTTCATTACATAATTTTGTGTTTTACTTGGGTTATGGAAAACGGAGAATCGATATGGATTAACCAGCACATGCTCCAACAAAAATTAACTCAAACTTCTGAATGTAGATGACGCATAAACAAAAGAACAGAATGTAAATAATGATCAAAAAATAAAGGAATGCACAGAGACCGCTGTTTCAGCTTATCAGAGCTCCGATACATCACCGTTCATACTGTTATCTTACTGTTGTCCAAAACCGTGTAAAAACGCTTGATGGCGTCAGCAACGCCAGCATGGGCAGCTATTTGTAATAACCACAAAAATCGATAAAAATAATAATTAAGTACCTTTCGTTTATCGGATATCCTGAATCCGTTGTCACCAAACTCCGTCTTGAAACGACGATAATTCGAAACAAACGGCTTATCAGAATCGCCAAAAATTAACATCCGAAAATTTTCTATTATTTCAAAGGCATCCTTTTTCATCGGACATAGCAGCAACACCTTCGGTCGTGACAAACCCTGATCTCGGGCTGATTCAATCTCTTTCTCCGTCAGAGTTCCCTAAATTAAAGAAAATTAAAATATTTAAAAAGCAAATGAGGAATGTGAGGTATTGCACATTGCGTAAAACGGTAGGTAAGAGGTCACAAATCTGCACAGTGGTACTGGAAATCAGTCTCTAGAGAAGAATATGAAACTTATTTATTTCAAAATGAAAATACCAAGACCGCTTGGACTTATCAATAATATTACTAGAATGCTCCCACACTCCGAACGCAGCTATGTCAGGCCTTTTGGTCCGAACTACATTCTTCCAGTTAATGTCCACCGCCTGATCTATGTATGTGGGCCATCTCTTCGAGAGTGACCCGAGTGGCTATGTACTTCCTCAAAAATACCATTCACAGATGGGAACGAATTTGAGAATATATAAGTAAATAACCTTTTCGCGGCACTCCTGCAAAAACTGCTTGTTCTGAATTATCAGATTTCGTGTTCGCGTTACATGGTTAATAATATGCAAACAGTACAGTGGCTGAAAAGCAAAAGAAAATTATTCACTGAAAAGACAATTGAAAATTTGTAAAAAAATTGAGAAGTTAAATTTAAATTTGAAAAATTTATTTAGGAATGAAAATTCGGAAAATTAGAAATCGTGCTGATGTTTCGGCTGATTTTCGCTGATAAGGACTAACTATGACGGACAGTTTATGCATACAAAATTACTGGAGGTAAAAGGAGGGAGAAGAGAGGCAAAACACTTTCACTTTAACTAGAATGCATAGATCAGAATGCCTCGGGCGAAATCGTTAAAACAGACTGTCGTTGAATTGCATTCATCAAGAACTCGCGAGATTTCACATTTAAAATTTCCGCATAAATTTGAAGTTGTTTGTAATCGTTCGGGGAAAGTCTGGAATATCCTCTCCAGCTGAGAACAGTGCACGGGCATGGCAAATAGCAACAAATGACAAATTATCATGCTAACAACATCAAAGGTGGACAATAGCTAAATAAGCTAATAACAGCGAATCGTAAAAAGGAAGCGAATTTACCGTGCAATCTGTTTTCATTCCAGCTACGGAAAGATCCATATACTTGCCGATTACGTTGTACAATGATATCTGCGCACCGCTCATCGGTCCTCCGTTCAAAACCTCAAAATTTCTTAACAATTTCGAGTTCAAGCCAAATTCCTGAATATCTTGCCGCCCGAGAGCGGCTTTTGAGCAATCCGGTGCTGTGCAGCGCTGGACAAATAAGCCCATTCCGATATCCTGCAAAAATTTGGCGTTTTGACATTGTTGCACACAAAATTCTGATCTAGGTACAACAACACGGACATGGTCACATGCCAGAAGTTGAACAGTGACCGTTGGCTATGACGAAAAAAGTGGTAGAGCGAAGGATGCTTGGTGTACCTCTTCGTAACCATATAAACAGTGAGAGGCCCGTCAGTTGAGCAGTGCGAAGGACAACATTGTGATTAAGTGAAAATTTAAAAATCAATGGCCCAGAGTATGTTGTTCACCTTGTCGATAACCGCTGGGCCCCATGCATTAATGGGTGGTACCCGCGAGGGGAGTGGTACCCACAAATGATCACTTCCTGCCCAAAAATGTGGTTTATATACAGCTGGTCAGTATTGGCCATAGGCGGATCCGAGAGGGAGAAGAGAGGCGATGGGTCTTTTGCCCCAACCCCCTTGCCAGTGGCACAGATACCAGTGCTACAGAAATCTGGGTCTAAAGCTAAAACTGAAGAAAACTTTCTTGTGCAGCCCCCGCTGTCCCCCCCCCCCCCCCCCCCCCCCCCCCCCCCCCCCC